CCTTCCCTAACTTTGTCCATTTGCATGCTAGTTCCAATCCCGTTCTTTTCCAGAATGCAGCCGCCTTCCATCTCTTCATGCAAAGGTCTGGAAAACAGACGTGGACAAGGTGATGCTGGCAGCACGTCGCTGTTTTCCTACTGGAAACAGGAGGTGGAGAGACCCTCTCCTGCTGGGACACTTTCACCAGAGAGGTCCAGACTCCGAGGAGGATGGGTAAGCACTGGAGAGCAGCGGGGAGTTGTCCCATCCCTCCGAAATCCCAATGGAAAGGAGCTTTGTCCTGACTAAGCACAGAGACCAGGCTTTGGCAGCATCATGGGGGGAGCCACGGACAGGTCCAGCTGCAAAGCTCAGCTCATCCCACCCCAGGGCAGAGCACATGGAGGGGTGCAAAACCCCCCAAAAAGCCATCGGGGCTGTTCCAGCTGCCCCCACCGTGAGTACCACCCCCGTGAGCCAGCGCCAGTGCCTGCGCCAAGCCCTTGCAGAGACGGAGGAGCCGCATCCCGCAGGAGCCGAGCGCAGAGCAGGGCCAGAAGCCAGCGGGAACCACGGGCTTGGCACATCCCGCCGCCACATTTTTCCCCTCCCCTCCCGGTTAATTGAATTTGTCTTGGAGGGCGCAGCATCTCTGGAAAACCCAAAGCCGCGGCTCATCCCTCAGGTCCCGTCCCACGTACCCAGGAGCAGGGGGGTATCGACAGCCCGTGGGATGGCTCTGACCTTTCCAGCGGAGCCAGCGTGCATGGAGGGGCAAAACACATCTCCTTTATGAGGCCCAAAAGCAAATAAATAGGGAGGTTGGAAGTACGTGTGCGTGTTTTCTTAAGCGTGTCCTCCAGGAGGTCTGCGGAGCAGGGCCAGCTTGTTCAAGGTCTCCTTGCCCAAAGGAAGGCGGTGTCTGGTCCCACACAGGTGTCACAGGAGGGTCCAGAGAGCCTGCACCCCCGTGCCTGCCGCACCCCAACACCTCCATGATCTCTCCTTGGGCCTTTCAAAGAGCAGGGGGGACAGAAAGGGGGACCTAGGGCTTGGCAGCAAGCTCAGCACCATCTCCCCAACCTTAGGTGACTGGCACAAGCCCAGGTGGACAGTGCACGTGGTCCTGCAGGCTGGTGGCTATTGCGGAAGGGGTCGGGGACAACTGGTCCCAGCAGGTTTGGTGGCCTCAGGGAGAGCCAAGAAGGCCAAATTCTCCCTCTCTGCTGAGGTAAAGCACCAAGAGCCACCACATGAGCTCGGTGGCCACAGAGGCTCACCCATCACAGCCACCAGTTGCCACCAATGGTTGGAGACCATCTCCATCGGCGTACCTGAAGGGGAAACCATGGTCCAAAAGACCCTGGTGAGGTCAGTCTCTGAAACACCTTCCTTGGGATAAAACACCATGGTCATACTGCAGCGACGCTCCCCGGAGCGGCTCCTTGTCCCCACAAAGCACAATCCAGCCCAAAAAAAACAGGCTACATGGAGGGAAAGCCCGTGGCACCCTGCCAGCCTCCCTTGAACGAACGTTCAGGTGCTTAGAAAGGCAAAGCAGCAGCAGATACTGGTGCTGCTGCCCACGGGGATGGTGGGATGGCAGGGATCCAGCCCTGCAACGTCCCCATCCCCCAGTCCAGCTGTCGGACGCACAACACCCGTGCACAGCCAAACAACCCCTTTGGGTGCTCCGCACGGGTGCCTCCTACACAGCGCATCCAAGACTCCACGGGGAAGCCACATCGGTGGCTCCTCACTCCACAAGCCCCACCGTCCCTCTGGCTGGGCTGGCCCGGCTCTGGCTCCTGCCCCGACACAATGCCGCTCATTCAGGTGAGCCAGGCTGCAGCCCTTGCATGAAGGCTGGAAATTTATGACTTGCCTTAAATGTCACCTTTTCAACTCCGTGCCTTGGCTCAGCAACCTTTGAAGCAAACATTAGCAAACGACCAGCATTTTTTGGGGCGGGGAGAGGGGGGGAAGTTAAAAAAAGAAGTCGTCCCTTCCAAGATAAATAAGTGCTCTCGCAATAAACAGCATGAAAAGGCTCACATTCAAAACTGGCAGAAAATACCTGCAGTCGGCAATGATGTCATCCATCAGCTGGGCACCCAGGGCATACAGCTCGCTCGGTGAGCGGTTGGACTTGAGAGCAAGGTGGACTTTCTCCAGGTTTGCTTCCTGCACAATAGGCGGGGAAGAGGAGCTGCACAGTGGGGACCCTCCCAACGCCCCACTCCACCCCATGTCCAGGACCCTCCCAGCGAGTGCCTGGGGCTGCTCCCTGTCATCAGAAACTCCAGCCTGGGTCCCACCGGGGCTCCGCACCTCTGGTTTTGCTCCTGTTGGAGCTCCAGGGGAAACAACAGTGAAATACAGCAAGAAATCCCATAAATAGCTCAGGAGCTGAAGGAAGGTCCTTGCCTCCTGCACCTGCACCAGTAGGCAGGTGGGCGGTACGGCAAAGCGCTGCGTTCACACCCCGCTGCCACCCCAGAGGGTACGAGGGATGGTCCCTTTCCCTCCGTCACTCCACGGGCTGAGCAGGGCACCCGGGACACTGACAGATTTCCCTTCCACAGCACAAGACTCGTCAAATCCCAAACCTGACGCAGCCTGGAGATGGCCTCTGTCCCCTCCCTGTCCCCTCTCTGTCCACCAGAACAGAGGCGGACAACGCTCCTCACAACCGCGGCGCTCACCAGCCTGTCTGCTGCATGGTGGAGAAGGTTTTGGGCATCAGTCCGATAGCTGATATCTTCCCAGTAGGATGACAACACCACCACGGGCTTCACGTTGCCCCAGGGCAGGTAGTAATACTGACAACCTGGAGGGCACAGCACACCGGTGAGCTCGTGATATTGGGGTGATGGGGGACCCCACTCCTGGAGCAGAGATGAAGGGGGACAGTGCAGCATTTGGCCTTGGGCAGAAGCCCATCTCTGGGGCTCTTTTGGAGCAAGAGGATGGGAATTATGTTCCCCAAACCCATGTGCAACTGAGCAATGCACACCAACGTCCGAAGGGATGTGTGTCAACCTCCGCTGCTGCAGCAACTCCTGCAGAGCAGTGAGGCCAGAAACCAGCAGAACAACCCCAGTGGGGTGAGGACATCTCACACCAGAGCGAGAGCCCCACAGGAGCCAGGGAAAGGCCACTCCAAAGCACTGGCTCTTCTTTGGAGAGAAATGGGCACTGTTAGTGCCGAGGTGCTGCCCAAAAACCACTTCAAGCCAGCACAGGGCTGAGAGAAGCAGTCCTGGCTTCCCCACTCCTCCCCAGTCACATATTCCCCCTTCACAGCATGGTGGAGGTGGGCAAGGACCTCTGGAGGTCCTCTGGTCCAACCCCTGCTCAAGCAAGGTCACCCTGAGCAGGTTGTCCAGGACCACATCCAGTGGGATTTTGAATATCTCCAAGGATGGAGACTCCACACCCGCCCTGGGCAGCCCGTCCCAGTGCTTGGTCACCCCCATGTTGCTCACCATCAAAGACGGCCCGGCTGTACTGCGTGGTGGAGGCCAAGGGCAGGCAGGTGTTGTCAAATTTGTTGCCGTAGTTGCCAATGCTGACCTCAAACTGGATGGCGTCGTCCACGTCTTGGAGCATGGTGGCTGAGTAGAAGGCAGCGAAGAGGGAGTACTTCCGACGGCGCAGGTACTTCTGCAACAGGCATGGGACCGTGTCCATAGAGGAGACACCACCACTGCTCGCCTACACACAGACCTTCCACTACCCCAGCACACACCAGCTCAGCGAGGCCTCCGAGATGGAAAAGTTTATTGCAGGGAAGAAAAGCATATGCTGCAGCAAGGGAATTTGGGGTGAGATATTTAGGAAAAACCTGACAAAGGAAAAGGCTAGAACTTCCCATAAAAAAATGCAGTTTAAACCTGAAGAAACAAGCAAAAGGAGCACATCTGCGATAGCGCTTGAATTGGGATTGGGGTCCTGTTGAAGTAAATCTCCCGCCCCTCCATGTTCACCATGCTTTCTACCATGCAGCAGCTCAGGAGCAAGCTGGACGCGTTGGGATGGAAACGCAGCATGAGACACGCTCCAGGAGCTCACCGACCACTCCACCGCTCACGGGACATCACCCACCCAGGACCAGCACCCACGTCCCTTGTGCCCCACAGAGGGGGCTGCGGGGAGACCTTAGTGCAGCCTTGCAGTGCTGAAAGGGGCCGATAGGAAGGGTGAGGGCAAGCTTTAGCAAGGCCTGTTGTGACAGGACAAGGAGTAATGGTTTTAAACTAAAGAAGAATAGATTTAGATGGGACGTAAGGAAGAAATGTTTTACACTGAGGGTGGTGAGGCACTG